CAACTCAAAGCATGGTCATGACAAACGTTTTACAAAATATTAGCATGGTGCTGTTACGTAAATGCAATTGGGAGGAAGCACAAAACGGAGTCAAGTGACATTTCAGGCATTTCAGTCCCAGGTCACGTCTTGAGAAAATTGCTGAAATAATGGAGGGGGCATTTTTCAAGCAGCGCTACAGCGCCAACAGCTATGTTTACTTTAACGCTTCACTAGTGACTTCTGATTGGTTGTCATGACCTCATCTCTGTTGCACCTAGGATGTTGCAACAGTGACATATACATACCTTCTTGTGAAAAAGATGAGAATAAACACAACATACATCTTTCAGAAAAGATGAATGGACATTGGTTTGTCCTTTTTAACCATGGATTGATACAGTTTATAGATGAAAACACTTTGGGTTTCATTTCCCCTGAGGATGAGCACCTATCTTCTTTCAAACCAAGCAGATAGAATGCTGAACTTGAAAAATACGATTGATAAATCTGTGTAAAATGATCTCTTAAGGAGCCTTGCCTGAAGACCAAACCAGACAGTTCCATAGGTCAAAGGACTCTACTCTGGCCCCTGACCTCTTTGGTCATATGTGGCTTTGCAGTATTGGCAGATTAATATGTAGAGCTGAGTACTTTTCAGATGATTTTTTATTTAGCCAACCACACCAGACTTGAAAAGATGTAGAATTTGTTCCTATTTTTCGTTTTCTTTATAATTGGTAATTAATAGGCAAATTAGCTTAGATAAATCATCAGTTTTAGCATGGTTGCATTGGGGTCAAAAGTACATTCCATTTCTGGCCAGGCATTTTCAGATTTTATCTATTTGTAGAATCTTCTCTGTAAGTGCATCTCTGTAGCAATTTAATTTCTTAAGCAAGATTTCCTCTTTGGTTCTTTGTGTTTGGCATCACCTGTCTATTCTAGACCTCTGACCTAAGCCATCATTTGTTGATTGAATGATAAATGAACTATTATTTATTAGTAAGTGCATCTATAGACTTCAAAGTAAAGAAGGCCCGGGAGGACTCTGTATTCTGTTTAAATCACAGCAAGCACTTGTGCTGAATAAAATGCTATGGCTAGCAATAAAATTTTGAGAGTTTCTGATTAAGATCCCATGATTTATACCTTATAAACCACAGATTTGATAATGAAACTATAGTTATAACTCCAAAAGAGTAGAAAATAAGATTGAGATAAATTAAAGAGATAAAGCTTACTTTTACCAATGTCTGTCCTCTTGATCACCGTGATCTTCTGCTAGACTGTGCAATCAAACATAAGAGTTAATTAACAACTTTGTGTATGCTTTGTCTCTTGAAATGTTGAATATTGGAATTGATTTGGGTGAATCATTACAAAAGATGCCAGAAGTTTTATTTATTTAGTTGTAGAATGTTAGATAATCAGTTTGATCACTTTATCTTGGTAAAGATAACAGAACTTTCCATGTACATTTGAAATAGCCTAGCTTTTCATCTTAGGATAAATTTAATATGCTTAAGGAATAATTAAATACCTCAGTATACAATCTTTTGTGTTCCAAGCATTAATTCTGGGGATCTCCTTTGGAGTGGCAGTGCACAGTTCTTTTATGATATTATACTTGATGCCTAATTTTATAGTTTTGTAAAACTTTATGGGTACGTTTGCTAAGTTAAACTAGGATCTCTTACTTATTTCTGTGTGTACTGATTGAGTTACTAGGAATAGAAAGAATTAATTTTTAAAATGGTATTTATTCTGATATAAATTGATATCATTCTATTTAAAACAGTTAAATTTAATGACTGGTGTGTTGTCTGCTTTGTTTACTTTGACTATTTAGTTTGACTCCTGAGTTTATATTTATTAATGCTGATATGGCAAAAATCTTTGTAGCTTTATTATGCAATAGGATTTTTTGGACAATATATGTGACAGGGAAAAAGGCGAAAAGATAAAGTTTTACTACATATCTTTGCATGGGATAGTTGACTTTATTTTGTTGCTCTAGCTTTCTCCTATCCATAGAATGGTTATGAATGGTATCTGTAAATATTGCATTAATTATCAGGCAAATTTTAATTAAAAAATGTAAGTTTTTTGCAGAATGGTAATTGAATTTGCAGCAAAGACATTTAGTAAAATTAGCTCTCATTTCCACAGAAAACATTCCTGAATATTTCTTGATTGTTATTCTATTAATTGGCAGTATGAAATAGCTAAATGATAAAATAGTTTCTGAATAAATCAAATGTTTAAAGAGAAACATTCATTGTTGAAATCAATATGATAAAAATTCTTTAATTGATTTATATAGTTGTGATTTAAAAATAGAATCATTTTTCATCTGTCGATGCCTTGGTGAAAAATTGACATTGTGTCTTCATAAAATTGGACAAATGAGTCATGTAATTTTCAGTTACATAATCAATAACTTAGATAAATACTACTACTTTGATGATTTATGTTTCTGGTTTTTATACTTTAGATAGGACACATCAAATTTCAGAGTTGATTTAAAATTAAGGAGGTACAGTAATTTCTCAATCTATGATTTCCAAAATTGAAGCTAAAACTTCTGTTCAAATAAAGCTGGCATTATGAAAATATTATTTCTAATGATTAAAGTACAAACTAGGGTAATAGTTTTCTCATTTTGGTGACTGTAAATTTCGTCTAAAGAATTTGCCTTTATTTAGGGTTTATTCATTGTGCAGAGATGATGTTCATGTTCTATCAATTTATTAAAGTCCTACTTTGTTACCTTGAGTTTGTAATTTTTCATGTTATCATTAAAATGTAATATATCACTATTTTCAACTCTTAAGAATTCCAAGATTCTATTTGGGTCTTGCTAACCCTAACACGTGTGAGTATGAGAGTCTGTGTGTGTGTGTGTTTAAAGTTCAATTCGCTCAGAGAAGGCAGGGAAGGAACATGACAGGAGACCACTTACTCATGGTACAGAATCTAGTGAGGAGGCAATTTTCTTTTTGGCCTATGGTGACCTTTTTTGACTGTGCCTTACACCAGAGACAGTGTATTGAATGCCTCTATTTCACCCTGTTTAGCAGAGTGCAACAGTGTTCTTTAACTTACTTTTGGTGGGAGGAGAAGTTATAGCTGAAATTTGAGAAGGGCGTGAAAAGTTTTAAGAGGCACAAGGAAGAGGGGTAGGAACTTCCTTCAAATGTGATTTTAATAACCAGTCAAGTGTGTCCAACTGTAGAAAATCACCAAGTGACAATATGTCTACCTGACAGTGATCACAATGAATTACAAGACTGTTGAATAGCTATACAGATTAGAATAAAGCAGAACCAAATAAAATATCTTTTGTTGGTAAAACTTTGACTTAACAGCTAAGAAACTTAAAAAGAAAAGCTAAGAAACTTGTGCTTTGTTGAAGAACATTTAAATTTAAAAATGCATCAAGTGTTTTATAAGGCCTTCATGAATGAGATATTTATCTAAAAATTTATTTAAATACATATTGAGGAATATGTGTTATTAATCAATTTGGTATATATTATTATATACTTTTCACATATGTACAACAACTATTTCTTAATTAAGAAATTTTATCACTAAAATAAAAACTTCAGCGATCTTGAAAATCTCCAAACCATATTATGGTTTTAGACAATAAGATCAACTGATTGGGGTGGGGATTGAAACAATTCCAGTGAAGTTTCTAAGTAGTTTGTGAAATGAATTTTTTTAAAAAGCCAACTATCTGTAGCAATTTCGTATATTTAAAAATAAGGATAACTGAGTCTATGCTAATATTGGCTGAGTTTACTGCTCTCAGTTTTTTTTAAATTATCTTATGTTTGGTTTGGCAAAAAATGATTTAAATTTAAACTTGACATAGATTCTACAGTTATCATTTTGGGAAATTGTTTTTTGTAAGGATAAGAATTTTTATACTTTATTTTTGATAGCTCTTATTTTTTAAACATATGTTTTAAGTATGACCTTACAAGATTTTAATAGATGAAATTGGGATACCCACAGTACAGAATTGAATAGAAAAGACAAGATATAAATAGCTTCAAAAATTTGTGTTACTTTTTAGTGGTAATTGTTTATCCTTCTCTGTTTTTTCATGGTTACATTATTCCATCAGTTATAATATAAATGCCAAAAGTTTCCTTAATTGTAACCAGAGAAAGGTTTGCCTTGCTAGAATAAGTTAGACAGGAAAACACTTTTAAAAACTTTTAAAAAGATTTACTAGCTCAATAAACTATACTTTAAACTTTGAAACTTGTTTCCTGGTACTAGTTGTTAATAAAGAGAGTTTTTATGGTAGCTGAAAAATAAATTTCAAGATGAGAAAGTTGTTCCCATACATTATAGTAGGACATTAGTTTTTTTGTGTGTGCGTGTGATTTGTGATTTGTGTGCCTTCCTGAAAGAAGAGAGGTGAAAAAATTCCAATATATATTTGTAGACATTCTGTGTTCCTTATAATAGAGATATGTGAATCTGTAGACAGTTTATTCCTTATTGCTTGCTTGTTCTCTTTTAAGTTCAGACAAATAAAAAATACCCATTAAAGTGCAATTGTAAAGATTAACAAAAATCCAGGAAAATATGGTTGGAATTGTAAACTTCAATTTCAAAGAGGTTATTTTCTCAAAATATATATTATAAATATTAATGTGTTTTGAAAGTGTACTTGTTATTTGGTGATTTATTTCAGTAACTTTTGGAGTTCTGGGAAATCTGAAGTACTTTTTATAAATTTAAACTTTATATTTTTAATATGTTATAGTTATATCTTTTTGATCTTATAGACGATCTATGCTTATTTGCACACACAATACAGGCAAATAATTTGAAATCACTTTTCTGTTGGAGAAATTAAAACTACAATCTGTTATAAAGGAATTTTTAGTGAATATGTAACTATGTTAAGTCACTTAGTATGAGATTTTAAGAACTTCTTTATGAATTGAAATGATTTTTAAGATTAAATTATGCTGCCTTTTTTGCTTTCAAAACAGGAAGGATATGGAGTAATAGTACTGAATCCCAATGAAAACTATATTGAGGTCGAAAAGCCGAAGATACCTGTCCAGTCATCTTCTGATAGTTCAGATGAACCAGCAGAAAAACGCGAAAGAAAAGATAAAGTCTCTAAAGAAACAAAGAAGCGACGTGATTTCTATGAGAAGTATCGTAATCCCCAAAGAGAAAAAGAAATGATGCAGTTATATATCAGAGTAAGTAGTGAGCAAGATCATTACTATCCTTCATTATTTCCTTGTCTTTTTTTTTTTCAAACCACCACAACAGCTAATATTTATTGAAAATATTCTATGTGTTCAGACCTGTTCTAAGCAGTGTTGCATCCTTTATGAAAGAAGTCTTTAAAATTTATTTTCTATAAATTATTTCATTTTTTAAAAGAAAGTATCAGTTTTTAAATTTTTAAAGATTTATTTCCCAAAGGTATTATTTGACTGAAACGTTTTCTGTTTCTTATTCAAAGTAACAAAACACATCATTCTTATTTCAGTGTGATATTTTATTTAAGTTGCAAAAAGCAATTAATAATGCACTGTACAAAACATCAGTCTTCGTCTTGGGTGGTAATAGTTTTAATGCATTGTTTTCCTACGAGCCACCATCCATCCGCAGTGTCTCAGTTTAACTTCTGAAGGCCGGTGGAGGGAGGAAGAGTAATTAATATCTTAATAAATATTTAAGCTGGAATAGTTTAGGGATAGTGTAATGAGGGAACTCGGCCCTCTGCTCTTTTCTTATCCAGTGAACCTTTGCACTTTATAATGCTAGCAGCATGGGATCGTTACAGCAGTGCTGCCCAAGGAGTTCTAATTCTGTGGGGGGCACAAACAATTTTATTTGCCCTTTGACACATTCCGCTTGATATACACACTGAGCATGATATATATATATATATATTTATGTGTGTGTTTGTGACAGATTCATGCAGTTTTCAAAGCCCTTACTGTGAGTGCTCGGAATATAATTGGATAGTAAAGTATGTCAAAAATGCTATTGGTTATAAAATAGTAAATTGATATGTTCTTCAAAATTGAGCAATTCAGAACATTTAAATACAGACAATTTAACATTCTATAAATTATACTGTGAGATAGTAGTAAAGTTTCAGATTATTCAACTTGAGCTATTTTTCCATTTACTTTAAAAGCTTATTAATAAAGTATTTCATACCACATTCAAGGCGAAATATGTAGCATTCTAAGTTACTTTTAAAATTTTACTTCTAGTTCCATGGCATTATCGCTTTAGTTTGGGGTACTGTGCTCCAGACATTCCAGACATTTGGTTTCAGGTCAGTCAGATGAGTAAGTTAGGAGAGTTATGCAGCATATAAATTCTCAAAAGCCAAAAATATGTACCCAGACCAAGAATACCTAAAGCATATCTATCATAGGTGAGTGAGTCAAGCAAAAGTTAGGCAGATTATAGAAATTTCTGAAAAGCATCTCACTATTTAACATATTGTTTGAAAAACATAACCAGTGATTAGATTTGGGATTCGAAAGTATCATGCTCATTGTATGAGTTATATTGTATTACCTCCTTTCTTCCACATGACTGCATCAGGGTCCTGATGTCACCTCTTCTTGATCAGTTGTCCTGAGTTTCTTGATTAATATGATCCAGTTGATCAACTACCATGTTAAGACAGAATTTTTTAAAAATTACCCCAGATATCTGGGATCTAAAAATGATTCGTATAAGCTTTTAAAATATACAAATCACTAGTAATATTCAGTTTCCTATGTAAAGTGAAAACAAAATGTGATTTTGTGTATTGTTTTTACTTCTTAAATAGTTTCTTTCATTTGTCCATGATAAGTGCAGATTAAAGCATCTGTTTCTGACATTTGTCGTTTCGTGTTTCATTTCTTTTCTGGTTTCTCTTTATCATGTCACTGTCACTTTGGGTTTTTTCTTTTGTTCTCTTATGTGTGTGCATTTTCTTTATTCTTTTTTTACATTTGTTTATTCCTATATCTACTTTTTTATTATGCCAAGGGGGAAAAAAATCTTTCTGTTGTTTCATTAAGATCTTTTATCTTTCCTTTGTCTTTTTTCTTTCATTCTTTTATCTCTTTTATGCTCCTGCTAGTTTTATTTTCTTCTTATGTCTTTTTGCCTCTGTCTTGTTTTGTCCCATTCCACTCATCCGTCCAGGTTTTCATTGAAAGCACTAGAAGACGAAAATTGGCTCATGTAAACAAGACAACTTTATACCTGATAGTTATGAAGCATTATTTTTCTTAATAAACATTCTTTCTCTTAAAATCTTACAGAATTGGACAAAACACCAGAGCTGACCTGACACTCTTCAAACATACTTCTAGGTAGTAAGGCATGAACCTGTACTGGTAAAGCGAATAGTGGCTCATTTTGTGTTAGCTTGCTTAATCCGTATGTCATTTTGATCCACTCTAGAAGTACCTTCTTTCCTTTCCTTTACATATCTCCAAATAACAAGTATGTGTAATTTTCAGACACAGAGCGTGTATGTGGTAGGGGTGAATTAAGTTTTATTTATATGCTTCTTAGCCATTTACATGTTGAAATAATTTATTCTTTGGAACAATCCTATAAGCTAGGTAAATCAAATAAGTTCACTGTTACTTTAAAGTTAAAGAGGCTGATGGCTAGATGGTACATTTTTGTCTTGGATCACGTAACTAGTCAATGATGGAATTAAGTGTTAAATTAAACCAGGGCTTCTAGTTACTATAGATTCTTGCCGTCTTTCTTCTTTACCACATTGTTCTAACTTGTTGAGAATAAAATATGTATCTGAAATATGAAAAGTAAGCCCCTTATTATAAAAGCATGATATGATGTCGTAAACTATATTTGATGATTATGTATGATATAGTAAACTATATTTGATGATTATATAGATTTTTGACAATTTACATTAGTATACTTATATTATTAAATAGTGAGGTTGCAATATCATATATTTCAACTACTATCTTTTAATGTGATCAATAATATTGATCCCATTTGCAGATGAGGAGACTGAGAGTCAGTACTTAGTAAATTTCCCAAGGTCACATAGCTCTTAATTTAAGGTCCATTGGGCAAGAACTCAGTCTGTTTTCTTCATTGCTATAATCCAGAACCTAGAACAGAGCAAGAATAACAAATTTTTATTTGATAAATAAGATGGTAAGGCTAGGATTAAAATCCCAAACTACTACTGCTTTTTCTAATGCGTCCTGAATTATAAAAGTATACTAGTTGATTTTCTGTGAGAAAACATTCAAACAAATGAAAGTGAAGAAAAATTACATTGTTAGTCCCCTACCCAGTCCAGTAATTGAGAAGACATTCCAAAAACCAATGATAAAAAAATCATTTTTTTCATGATTTATTTGATATATTGATTGATCTATACATTTTCATCTCAATATTTAAAAGTAAGTTATGGACTTTTCTTTTTTTAACTATATCATCATGGTGCTGAAATGATGGATAAAAATGGAATTTTTTTTTTTTGCCAACCTTTTGCTATTTTTGTTTTATACGTTTGTTCATAAGATCACAGCCAGGCTCCGTATTCGCTCTACTCTGCACACAGTTTGTGCTTCATGGGATCTGTAACTTTGCTTTCTGTTCTTTCCCTTCGTCCAGATTCTGTCCATGGTGTAGTGCCCCGCTGACATCAGTGAGCTCTCCTTACTAAGACTGTTGGGGGTTCTTCTGATTAGTTAACTTGTATGGAACTTACCTTGTTCTGTCTTGAGCTATCTCTTGTGTTTTGTCTCATAATGTTATTACCAATCTATCTTTCATGCCTTTCCACTATAGCCCTACACTCCTTTAAGCATGCTTTATAGACTTTGGAATTGCATATCAGTCCTTTTGAATAAGCAAAAAAGAGTCAGTTGTTAGACTAGTACAGTGCATACTGTCATAAAGTCAGGAACCCATGCTAAATCTCTGCATTAGGATCCAATCTCCTGGAGGGAGACCAAAGCAGAAAGATTAGGCTTTAGTCTAGATATGTGTGGATAATGTGACCTGTAGCATAGGAACGAGGGGTATTCTGGTATCAAACTGGAGCCTAAGAGGACAAGTATTTAGACTAAGGAAGAAGAGGCTTAAAAGAACTTTAGAGTATGTAGGTGGAGTATAGGCAAAAGTGATTTGATGCTGATCTATGTAATACTGGGTTGGAATTGCTTTGAATATCTCTACCTTAGGAAACTTCATTGTAGGCTGTAGTGACAGGTAGTAAAATAGAGGGATTAGACCCAGAACATTAAAAAAAAAAAATACTAGAAGTGGATAGGGAAAGGAAATCACATGGCCACAGAAGGAAAAATCCAAATGTGGAGGAGACATTTAGAAAATAGGAATCTTGGCAGAGCCCAACTTTACACATTAAAGATACTCAAATATTTATGGATTGATTGCTTGTTGACATCCGTCAAAAAACTTATTCCTCAACAGGCGAGATATTTGGTGTCTAGTTGTCTGACTGATTTTTTTTTCAGCATATATGTGAATTTTTGCAATTGTTCAGAAACAGCCAGCTCTGATAAACTGAAACTTTCTTTTCAAAAAATATGTTTTTGATGTTCTGAGTTGGGCTATATCCAAAATATTGGTGAAGGCTAATTCATATCCTTTCTTCTCTTCTGTACCTCTTTTCCTGTGTAAATACCACTGGAGTCGCTTCTGTGTAGTGATTTAGCAAACAAATTCAACTCATTATTACAATCGGTGATTGTAATAATAACCTCTGAAACCATTTTATTTTCTTGGAATATTCAAGTATTTGATTTTTTTTCCCTCTGGCATGTAGTAGATAGCCGAAATCTCCTTTGAGCTTTTTGCAAATATCTAATATACACCAGCAGAAATAAAGTAAAATCTAGGCCTAAAACATCAAGATTAGCAAGATATAGTTTTATTTTACTTACTAAATGAATATAAATAGATATGACTAACTATTGGGTTATGTAGCACATTTCTGATGCATTAGGAACAGAGCTTGAGAGATCAAAGTACTTAGTCTTTCATGTGGCAACTTTCCTTAACTACGAAATAATGTACTTTCTGGCATATATTATGGCTTATTAAGGGGATTGATTTGGTCTAGGCAATAAACATCATGTCAGACATGCCTGGCAGGAAAACCTGCTTAATATGTTTTGTAATAAGATGGAATTTTTTGTTCTCGAAAACATCTGCCAAC